GCACTTTACATGGCCCTCTCCTACCACACCGAGACTTGCATACGCACTTTACATGGCCCTCTCCTGCCACACCGAGACTTGCATACGCACTTTACATGGCCCTCTCCTACCACACCGAGACTTGTATACGCACTTTACATGGCCCTCTCCTACCACACCGAGACTCGTACACGGGCCTGTTGCTCCCGCAATCGCTCTCGAGACCCTGCGCTGACGCGAAACCACAGACATGAAGGAGCACTTTGTCATCGACCCCCTGATCTCAAAGAGGCAACAGCTGCTGCTCGCCACCCAGCTGTGCAGAATGGTGCTCAAGGTATGCACATGCCCGTCCTGTTTCGTTGTGCTTTCATCCCCGTCCTGTTTCGTTGTGCTTTCATCCCCGTCCTGTTTCGTTGTACTTTCAATACCCTGTCACCTACCATCGCCCTTGTTCCACTCGACGCCTGCCCTTGCTTCACTCGACGTCTGCCCTTGCTTTATTCAACGCCTGCCCTTGCTTCACTCGACGTCTGCCCTTGCTTCATTCAACGCCTGCCCTTGCTTCGTCCCCTGCTCCTTCGAGCCTCGCTTTCGGGGAAGCGGGCCCTGCTCGACACATGTTACACGCGTCTGCGCGACCGCGACCAACGCGCTTTGCATGGCGACATGAGAGCCGCGCGAGCAGTCACACGCTCGACGTGTACCTTGCTTCCAGCGTTGCGTGCCTGTCAATCACCTTGTTCTTTTGCGCCCTTGTCCAGAGTCATGCTGACGATCCTCCAGATCAACAACGTCATCATCGCTGGCGGCGACGACGACTACTAGACTTGTTGATGTCGTGTGGATGCCACCGTCGACCAACGTCACATGCAAAAATACCGCCCCGCAACCGACTGCGACGTCACGGGGCCGAGGAGCTCGCGAGCTGAACAGAAGAGGCAAGGGTGTACAGAACAGAAGAGGCACGATGTGACGATCAAAAGCTAGCAAGCGATACCACATAGACCAAGGAATGAAACAAGTAAACAACACGGCCAACACCACTGCTATTTCCGTGACCAACACCACTGCTATACCACATAGACCAAGGAATGAAACAACTAAACAACACGACCAACACCACTGCTATTTCCATCTCGACCGAGGCGCCACACTCGTGGAAGTACGTCGCCGGCCTCGAAAGCGCTCGGCAGCCTACCTGTCGTGAATTTGCATGAATCTTGTCGTGAATTTGCATGAATACTGTCGTGAATTTGCATGAATCTCACACGTTGCTGGCTTCGAAAGCGCTCACGCAGTCGCGCTCGGCAGGCTGCTTGCCGTGCACCCGCATGCACCGCACGCGGAGCCGACCCTCTCGGTCTTCGAAGCAAGCAACCACCGTGTTCGATGCACGACTGCGAGCGCGTCTGCGGTGCCATGTGCCAGCGACTAGGCCCCGCCGTGTAGAAGCACCCGCTTCCTCATGTAATTGAGTGGGCACCCGCTTCCTCTTGCAATTGAGTGAGCACCCGCTTCCTCTTGCAATTGAGTGAGCACCCGCTTCCTCTTGCAATTGAGTGAGCACCCGCTTCCTCTTGCAATTGAGCGAGCACCCGCTTCCTCATGCAATTGAGTGAGCACGCGTCTGCCGTGCCTCCGCAAGAAGCAAATCTCTGGACACGTTCAAGATTCAAAGAGTCAGAACGCATCAACGCTCCCACGTGCCCATGTCCGCTCGTCTTCTTCCCGTGACGGGCGGTTGGCCTGCTGCGCCCGTCGACGGTGCAGAGTCTGTAGCAGTTCGCCTGCGATTGTCTCGCCGATGGAGACTGTGCTGGAAAGTTCCTGATACCAGTTTGTAAATGCGACATGTCACACCCCTTCTCGCTCTGTCTGCAACTGCGAAATGCCGTTCCAACACGGACCGTGGCTTCTGCCCTTTGGGCTCTGTGTATTTCAAGGCCCGGCGGTGGGGTCCAAAGCTATCATCATGGAGGCTGTGTGGCGAGAGGCAGAGCTGGGATATACACGACTAGCTTGTACATCTACTGCTTTCCTGAATTCTGCACCTTCGAAACCTCACCAATGTGGATGTTACCACTCCATCTCCCGTGTCCCTTGCTCTCGTCACTTAGGCGTGTGGAGACCAGACGGTGACTCGATTTCTGTCGTTCGGCCCCGTCCACCAAAATCAGGACTGTGACTCTTCATGTCTGGGTCTGGCTCTCGCTGTCCTTCTCTGGACGCGTGCTCGTGGAGCGACCGAAGAGGAAGAGTAGCGTGCCGTATTCCAAAGGCTGGGATGCTCAGCTCTGTGCGTCCAAATGAGGACATGGTTTACCTGATGTGTTCGGCCAGAAATCCTGCCTCGTGTTTTCTGCATATCGAAAAAACCATGGACCCCGTCTCATGGTTCGAGAATGTGCATGCTGCGATATTTCCGTCAAACCCCTTCCAACTCTTGATCATCTGTGCTCCATATTCGTCACGCTGCCCATTCATAATCGAAACAGTCTCGACACACCACACATGTCTGCCTTTCGACTCTTTTCTGCCACCCTCGAATCTCGCGCTCGGTGGCTTCTGTCTCTGCTAGTCTTCTGATTGCACCGGAACAGATCCAGAGATAGAACAATGTGCTTAGGTGTGTCGAGGACGAGGCGTTTCCCTCTACGATCTTCACTTGTCTGGAGAACGAGCGTGTGCTGTTTTGGCCGAAGCTGTGCTTACCTACTATTGACGTGGAGCCTCCTAACCCCGCTTGGTTCTTGCGTTCCTTTCAAATCCTTTTACCGCTATCTCGATAGTTCTGGAGACAGATTTGGACAAGTCATACATGCACATCCCGCGCCACACCTCGAAGACTCTCTACAGCCAAATAAGCTGGACCTACACGACAAATATTCTGCTCTTCGGACTCATGTCGAACAGGCAAATGAGCATGAGAAGATTCAGAATATGTATAGACCTCAGCATGTTAGGAACCGCAACCTCAGCATGTTAGGAACCGCAACCTCAGCTGAGGCAGGACTAACACACGCAACTTCCGTGGGAGGCAGCGGTATAGAGTCGAATGCCAAACTATTCCTCCCTTCACTGCTCTCGGCATAAACGCCACATGATTCGATCAGAAAGTAGATATGTCTAATGCATTTCTTTTTGCTCTGCTCTGCCTCCTTGGGAAGCGGCAATGCACACGGCATGTACCGAAACGGCTCTGGTCGTCACAGCGTGGCATGTGTCAGCTGCTTTTACTTCTCGTTCTGCAGATCAGAAAGTTCTCTGAACCTTGGATATAGTACACAATATCGTCTTGATATTCCCTGTTGCCGTACCTTGCACGCCTGGTAAATTCTAAACGCCGCACCTTCCTGGAGTCCAGTGTTTTCTCGTGCTCGTTGACTCCACCGACATTTCTATTCTTGTGTCCGGGATGAGGCCTTCCGCAGTCCGTCACGTGGCTATCGCTGCGTGCCCAGGTCTTGAACCGGTCCTGATCCGCTTATACTCTTCTTACAACAACCGCGACCGCCGTGCGTTTTCGAAAAGAAAAAAAATTGGTCTGCGGCATTCAATACCTACTCTGTCGTCTTCTTTGTAGCATGAAGACTGGTGTTCCTCCATCTTCCGTCACCTGGAAAACATCTCACGCTTATGTAGCCCTTCTCAGCAGGCGACCCCATGTGTCGTGTCCGGCTGTGCTTCTGCCTGAAGAGGACGCCTCTGCAGCTTGATGTGACGCGACCAATCCGGCACAGCAAGAAGAGGAACTCGGGTTACTTCTGTGTTCCAGAGACTTTGCCAGTGTACACGTCCAACCTGTTCAAAGCGCTGGTGTTCTCTCCAAAATTGTCCAGGGTCAGCATGATGCCTATCTTTGACTGCAATTCTTTCGCGCTCAGCATAGTCTGATACCTATCTCTATGACCGGGCTTGACTTAGCCGATCAATGGGCAACTTCTATACATAGACTCCGCCGCTGCATCTTCCCTCTTCGTTAATGTGCAGGCCTGAGCCTTCCATCAAGCCCCAAGGGATTCCCACTCTTTTAGTGCCTCTGTCTGCGGTTGTACTTCTTCAAGAAGAACCGGAGAAGATGGTCCACCATGCTCTGCGGAGTTAGGAAGGTTGGCTACATGAATACTCGATGGCAGCACTGCTGCATTCTTCCACGGTGTTCCCTTCACGATCTGGACCCAAATACTCACAACTCCCCATCGATGTCTGCACCTGCCACTCCTTCCTCTGGAAGGCGCCAAGTTTCTGCGTCCACCCAACGAGCAATATACAACATGATTGAAACCCTCGAAAAAACCACGGCCTTCGCCGATGTCGAGAGCCTAAGCTTACGCGAACCACCTGGACGTCTTCCACATGGCTCGTCTGTTCAGCGCGCCAAACACATCAAGGACATCATCAATGTCGGCCAGCCAGTCTGACCTGACCGCGACGTGAGCCGACGGAAGATTCCAAGTCGCAGCAATCATGACGAATGATCAGCTGTTTGAGCTCTGTTTTGAGATGACAAAACCTACGTCTTCCCACAGCTGGTTTCTCTCATGGTCCTCGAATGACTCGCAGAGGTGCCACGTGCGGCTCTCCTTGAGCAGAATACCTCTCACAATCTCGCAGATTCATGGCTTGTGTCTCAAGCTTGCTGTTGCTGCTGAGGGCGGTCTGGCGAAGGCGCTGAAGTTTGCTGCTGCACGTTCATGTGCTCGCAGAACAATCTCACCACCAGCTTATAATCTACGTCACTGATGTCCGAGTTCGCGCGAGCACAGGAAAGGGACATTGAGAGTGATTGCAGTGCGCCGCTCTGCTGGGTTGTCCGGTCGAGCAGCTACTGCTCGTGCACTGACCGACAGCTTTCGGGCGGCGACGAGACGGTTTGCTTTTCACCGAGCGGCGAATATCGTGACTCGCAGAAGGCCGAAATTTTGATGGTGAGGCAGAAACCAACGCTGAAGCTCCAGCTTCATCTCCGAGCTGCATCGCGAGGCCACCACCCTACAGCCCGCGCTCTCCAATCCCCGAACCACACATTCAGGCATCACCCTCAATCTCGGACCCGTTATTAGGCACCAACCGTCCGCTCGCTTGATAGCGGTGTTGCATCCGCCATGGTCACCGTGCCCTTCACAAACCCACTGGTAACAATACCTCGTAACAAAACCCCCCACTTTTCGCATGATACAAGGACGAGGTGTTCCATCTCTGCCATACGCTCAGGTATCCCAGCCCAACATCTGACCAGCAATGCGCTGCCCCACTACCCGCGAGCCAGCAGGCCCTAACCCGCACGTTCACCAGTGCTATTCAAATCAACAAACCGCATTTGCTAAGGACGGTCGGCGAACCTGTGCGAAAGCCCATAGAAGCCCACAGAACAGTGGCAAGGAAGACGCGTAGAAGGCTGAGTAGCTAGATGACTCGGATGTAGCTGCAGGCGGCGCCACGAATCGACCCTAACTCTGCTTGCTGTGAACATGGGCGTTGGCGCGCGTCGAGCACGCGCCGACTGCATTTGGAAATGCAAGCTATGGTACCTGTCCATCATTCGCTCGCTGCAGTGTCAGGATCGTGCAGTGCAGCAAGGCCTAGCAATAGCAACCGCGCCTAACAGTCGGCCAACTGCCAACATGCAGCAACGACGTCAGTTGCAGGACTCCGAGCCATTGTCACTCCTTCAACACACTCAAAGAGAGGATAGCATGACCGCAAGAGGAAAAGCACTAGCAAGCGCCGCAGATGAGGCTCTGCGGGAAGCCCAGACCCAAATGGGGCGCTTTTCAACTGCATCACAGACACAATGGCCGCCTCTGCGTGGCTCAGCGACACGCAGCAGCCCCAGATTTGCGGGTCCGGTGCTGAGGACGTCCTCGTACCTGGCGGTCTGAAGGGGGTCTGGAAGCGTGGCTGGGACGCGAGTGCCCTCGCTTTGCATCAATTTGCGCTGCACGGCCGGGTCATTTCGGAACTGCGCTTTGTCGTGCGCGGAGAGAGTCTGTGTCGCACGTGAAACTCGCCAGGAACGTGAAAATTGTGGGTTCTTTTGTGTTGAGGGTGGTCTTGACTCCACAGATGGGACGTTTGACATGGGCTTGACCTTTACCGAGTAGATACTACTCCGCAAGAGGAAAAGCAGATGGCACAATACGCAATGTCTCTACTCAGGGATTGCGGCGCGAAACGGTGAAAGGAAATTCTTGATAGTGCTGACGAGTGGGAAAACGATTGGGCAGGAAATCGCAGCGCAAGCAAAAGGGTACATCTTGTGGTCCGGCGAGAATCCGGCGACTGCAACGTTTGAGGCTCTGCGGTTGCCCGGTCGTCGCATGCTGCATCGAAGGTCTGCAGAGCATCAGCTTTTCCGCGCCTCAACAATTGTAGAGCGCTGTTGACAGGCGCTGTGGGTTGGGCAGCGTCGTTGTTATCTGACGACCGCGTGAGAAGATGTAATAGTCGCCTCTAGTTCCTCGGTGAGGGAAGCCGCGTCGTGACGTCTGTTGCGAGTGCAGAAACCTTGCAGCCAACTGCATGCCAGATGAACAGGATGCAATATTCCGCACACTGTCGAGCATCTGTCCTACATGAGCTGCAAAGTTTGGGGAACGCGAATTGCCTAAGAGGCGGTATCGATTGCTGTTTGTTGTAATGCATTCTGACCGGAAGGCCTTAAAGTCGCCACAAGCTAAGGCCAAACCACGCGCAGATGGTCGGTAGGCCGAGTATTCTCCCATTATCGCCTCTATGCACCAACGTGACGAGTGTCGATAGATGCGCACCGCTGGTGTAGTCATTATTCATTTAGATGCACTTGCTGTAGGTACCTTTTCGATCTGAGTCTAAGGGGTTGCTTGCATGCTGCACTAACGATGGCGTACACGCTGTTCCCCTTGGTCCGAAAAGGGATGACCATTTTTCGATGAATTTCTTCTTGAGGCCACACAATATGCACATCTCCATCACATCTGGAGCCGGCATGATCGACAGACGGCGCGTACCTGCGTGCTGGAAGCAAGCTACGTCATACCAGCCCTCGCGGCACAGCCCCCACGGGAAGCGGCACGGATGCGGAGCCCCAGTCTTCCAGAGACCCACGACACCATAACCGGCCCTTCTTGGCCTCAGAACAGCGTGAAACCCCAGCAACAGCGACACGAAGCGCGCACTAACATCGTACCCGATGCCCCATGAAACAAGCATAACCTGAATGTGGCGATTGACCTTGAATCAAACCTCGAATCGAGGTTTGGGTGCGCTTCAGACACGCTGTTTGCGGGGACGTGATCGTCGAAAAGCGGGAGCAAGTGATGCGGAAGAGAATCTCCTTTGGCCGCATGCGACACTTGCCGCGACGCTTAAGTCAAGAGGGAGTCTATCGTTCGGCTTGTCACTTGGTGCTTGACTGGTGTTTCGATATGTAACAGCTGTGCCTAGTCTGGGGTTGCCAGTCGAGTATAGCCTTAGTGTTACGCCAGGCTAACGGGGAAGCATGATAGCGTGCCGATCATTTGCTTTCATCGGTTGCGGTGCAGGTGCGGAAACAGTTCCTCCCGTGAGTGTGCGCGCCTTCAGTGTTTGAGCGCGCTGTTGGCGAGTCAATTGGCGGTCGTTCGTTGCTAAGATGAGCAGTGTCGACATGTGATCATGGAATTGGCGAAGATCATTGCGCTGACATGTGAGACAGTAACGAAAGGCTGTTGAAGCTGAGAAACGTGCAAGGCAAACGCTGTAAGATCCCATCGCCGTTGCTGACCGCGCATCTGAAGGGCTGAAGATGACCAGGATGTGTCGCGTGGAGCGCTGCCGAAAGCGGTAATCCAGTCCCAAGGCGCTCCGCTCATGCGGGGAAACCCTTGGGGACCTGATGTGCAAATTCAAACAGTGCAGCTGACCTTTGAATAACCGTTTTTCCACTTCAGCGACAGTGCCGTCCCAGTACCAGGGTTTGCCTGCGCGCGCAGGTCGGATCAAGGGCCTGTATCAAAACATGAAAAGAAACACACCGGATGTGTTCCACGTAACTCGCCTTCCTGGGTAGCGGTGCCCGCTTCCTTACGACGTCAGTCGCGGAAGCTACGGGTAGTGTACTTCTTAGTCCGTCGCAACTTTTTGCACATGAACACTTTGTATCATGCCTTCGGTCTTATTAAGAGCACTAGGACACGCTGTTCGTTTGCATGTCACGTGCAGATCTCACTTGAACCTGGTCGGGATGCCTGAGAATGTTGGCTGCGAGTATCGACGTCTCATGACCGCGGTGAAATCTTCAACGGGCATGTCGGACCGTGAACTGATCAAACTTGTATCCAAAGCTATACCATAGTAAACATTGCAATGACGTTCGCACGCCGGGACGTGCGAACGGTCCTGTAATGTGACACAGCCGCTGTGATGGTCGAGGCTGCCTGGAACAATCGCTCGTGCTCTGTACAAAGATCTAACCACGGTCTTGGTGAAGTTGCCGGAAATCTCTCCGGTCTTCGGAGCGCTGGCCTCAAACCAAGGTTTCTGAACTCATGGCGGTTTGCGCTAATCAAAACGTGGGCAGCGACCATATGCCTCGGCAGCTGAAGTCGGCTGCGTTCGCCATTTGGGAGTTGTGCTCTCGCGATGCGCCAGACATCCGCTCAGCCTGTGGAGTTGTGAAAGCGCATGGATTGCACGCGGGATTTGTCCGAGGTTGCGCTATCTTCGCATGGCTGAGAGCATGATCAGATGCGGAGTGTAGGGCTGCATGATGTCCAAGCGTCAGCGGAGACATTTCCCCAGATCGAGACGCATTGAAGTCAGTGTATTGCTGTTCTCAATGCTTGTCGAGCTTTGACATGGACAGTATGGCAAACGCGATGAGTGCCTTCATCATGATTCACGAGCATGGGACCTCAAGGCGATGAGGCAATCGTGGTATCTCAAGCAATCGAAGAAAGCTAGAAGTAGATAATCTTACTCTCAGAGCCCGTGGGAGACTGAGACATGCCAGCGAAGTCTGGGGTGACAACGCACGTTCACTCAGCCTAGCCTTGTGAATGGGATGGTGTGCGGCTTGTTCAGCACCTCCTTACCTCCGACAAACCCACCGTTGTTCGCTATCGTGATCAATGTTAAGCCTTCGAAGGTCAAGCGATTGATAGTCGCCGTAACAGCCAGATACCATCTGTATGGCTTCATATCAGCGCTTGTTAGCCATGTCTCGGTTGTTGTAGTCTGTCGCTGAAATGCACGCTTTATGTCGACTGCTGCTATTCAGAGCTCAATCTTATAGATCGTTTTGTCTCGATCTTGAGATACTAGCTCGTGTCAGTATTGGTTGGCTACCAAACTGTGTTAAGTCATGGAACTCCGGGATGCGGGGCCTTGGGTAACTGTAAACTTCGCCTTTATGTTCACATTGGACGGCGACGTACTTCTTACCGTTCGAACGCCAGATAGAGACTGTACGTATGGCGGGTGCGCTGGACCTTGGACGGGTGACTACTCTGTGAGATGCCTGGACAGGAAGGACGAAGCTGATGTTGACGCGCGTCGAGACGATACGAAAGCCGTGGTGTTGATACGCCGAATGTGGCTGAGGGACGTTCGCAGGTGGACACAGGGAAATACCTGTTGACGATATGCTGGCGTCTGATAACGCAGCGAGGCACCAAATGCCATCTCACGGGTATCCACACTTCGAGGACCGGTATGCTCGATATGTAGGATCTACGAGATCACATAGCTGCGAGGCGTTGCAATTGCCTGCTTTGTTGCATCTGGCCGGTCATATTGGTTGTAAATTGTAGGCACACTGGACGCCAGATCTGCATACAGCAGTATTGGCGAGAAGGAGCATGTCACGACTGTGCAGCTTGTAATCTGTGAGGTGTGACGATGTCAGAACATGTGACAAGCCCCCCACGAGTGCAGCGAATGGAAGCACCGGAACCGCGAGGTGAGGTGACGGAAAGTCCACCACAGTCACAGGATGAGGGCTGAGCGCGCATTACCAAGGAGTTGGTAAGAGTGCTATCAAAGCCTCCCATGGTGGCGGAGCTTCCTTGTAGATGAGGCTGAAGGGGCGACAAGTCAGAGGGTGAGCATGTCTCCAGAAGTTCAGATGACCTGTCTGCAGGCGCTAAGCTGCCAGCGCATCAACACCCTGACGGACTGTGTCGCGGGGTAGTGCAGTGGGTGCCTATTAAGGCAGTGCCGCTCATCTTGTTTCCCATAATGACTGTTGTTTTTAGGTGCCGGCTGATCGATGGAATCGCAAATAGCAGAGGGGGGAGCCTGTCGACCGTGGGGTGGCTGCGGATCATGAGCACGCGATTAGGTCCGCTCTTGAAACGCAGCATGTTAGCCAGTAGTGAGAAGTCAAGTAAAAAGTTTTCCATCCCGCATGCGAAGGCTGATTAGCTGGTAAGGCTTGCATAGCCGTATGCGGTGTTAATGTAATTATTGCATACCTAATGAAGAGTATGGTGTTGTGCTGTCAACAGCAGGAAGATGACGTGTAAAACCTCCGATTGCCTCCACTCTGTAACAGTCAGGTGGCAACGAAGAGATAGAGGGCTGACGCAGTTCAGGTGAGGGGAGCGCTGAAATCGATACCTGATTCATAAGGCTGAGGCATGGTGAGATTGCCGTCGAGACTCGGCTGCTGCGGGCGCACGACTCACACGCCAAATGCACCTCTTTTGGAACGCTGTTGCGCAAGGTGCGTCTCACGAGGCATTACCCTCGCGTAATGCATGTAGCGGCCTCTGCAGTTCTCCCTGTGATGTAGTCGTTGTGTTATCGTTGGCCGTGCTCGTCAGGTGTCAGGCACGCATCACAGGCAGTCACGGTGGACAGGAAAGCGGTCCGAGGAAACGCGGTGAATCAATAGCACTCGTCACAAGGGAAAGATCTGCATTTCTCAGATATTGTTGTCAATGAAAACAGATCATAGTTACATGCAGCGTGCCTTTCGAGCGGTCGCGGCATCTGCAACGAGAACCATGGTGCTGTGGTCGGGAGGAGCAAGCGAGTTCCGCCATTGGGTGGCATTTGTTGCTGCATAGTAAAGTGTGCATAAGCGCTTGCTGGGCGCACAACCTACAAGATGATTCAGAAGAGCGGTAAAGAATCTACCAAACAGATCAAACCCTCGTATCAGACTTGCATTTCGTTGAGTTCAGACGACCGTGAGAGCTGCGAAAACGGCATCAGTTGATCAAATTCGATAGTCACAGTGGTTCATTCGTGGAAGGTAACATGTTTTGGTCTTCTGAACAATCGCTTTTTTCCGATTAAGTACCTAACTGATTACCTGCTATCTCGTGAGGTAATGCTGTCGCATAGCGACTTCGCAAAGTCTTCCTGTACTGGGGTATAACGGCTGTGTTGAGCCCAAATAGAAGTACAGTGCAGGTAATAGTACAGACCAATGGACGAATTGTCGCCATGTGAAAGCCAACTCAACTAGGCGCGAGCCTTGACCCTTCTTTAGAAGCCAGTTGAACCGCCGTAGTCCGTTGAAGGAGAATCGTAGCCGCGTAGGGCATACATGATGATGCCTTCGAAGCATCGAAGATTTTGGGAGGTCATTACCCATCATCGCCGCTCAAATGCTGAACGGGTACAAAAAGACAAAACGCCGTGAGCCCAATGCTCGCTTGTTGATGCCGCTAGAATTGCAAATGTAAAGTCACTGAAGATGGAGATGATCTACCACCCTTTAGTGTGGTAGCTACCAAGACCTTGGTCGAAATAGCTGTTGGGATTCTTCGCACTGGTGTGCATTGGCTGAGCTTGAGCCATGGTACTCATGCCCTGAAGGTCGGTGGTGGTGGCAGCTCGTCGCATGGCTGCGTTGGTCGTCGCATTCTTCTGCTGGCGTTCCCATAGCAGGTTTTGACGAAGAGAGCCGCTCAGCTCATTCTGCAGCATGAGTCGGCGAGTGGTCCGCGGAGACAAGGCGGGGGGGTGCACGTTCGACGTCGTCATGATAATAGGCTTGGCTCTTGATGCCTGTTGACGCATCATCAGACCGCTGTCTTCCTGGGGCGAGTTGCCTATGGAAGGACCATTCGGTGTTGTTGTGCGAGATCGACGAATCGCTGGTGGCTGCTGGCGCTGAGCTGCGTTTTGCATTGCTTGCGCGCGGTCGCCTTCGTGCATCATTGTTGTGAGGAGGGAGCGGTGAGAGGTGAGGTTCGGCTTGGAGTCGACACGAGGGAACATGCTGGAAGTTTGCATGCTCGACTGGTGGCTCTCATCGGCCTCCTCATCGTCGTCCTCCCAGTCGTCACCGGAGTCCTCCTCTTCAATGGCACTCTCGTCAGGCTCATCGCTGTCGCTCTCAATAGCACCTTCACTCTCAGAGATGGCCTCCTGGTACTGGCGCAGGCTGATCTGGTTGGCGAAAGAAGTCGTCTTCTTGATTGAGCCGGCTTTGCGGAGGTTTCCAGACAGGGAGCTGCGCTGAGCCAGAGAGTATGCCTCGAGTGAGCTGCTGGCGTCCTCGTCCGACGAGCCACCGAGAGTGAACATTGGCTGCTTCTTCTTCATTGGCTCTGCCCTCGAATGCGGGGGCTTGACTATGAAGCTGGAAGTCTTCTTCAGGATCGACGGTGTAGGTGCGAGGTTAGTGCTTGAACGCATGGAGGTGGAGATGTGGCCGGGCTCGAAGCCACGGACAACGCTGTGCTGGCTCATGTCGGTCGAGGTGCTCGCTTCTGAGCCAGTGGCGCTCATGTCGTCGCTGCCGCGAGCAGTGGCGAAGGTCGATGTCGAGAGTTCTGGTGCGCAGCGGCGCGCGGTCAACGGTGGCGATGCGGAGCGTGGGGCTAATGTCTCCTCTGGTCGCCGTTCTGCCGTCGTCTGTGGGGCGAGTTGCGGGGGAAGAGGTGACAAGGGTTCAATGATCTTCTTTTCTTGTATCGAGTTGACGACCTTCTCAAGATCAATTGGAGTCATGTGCTTGCCACGGGGGTTGCTGGTGGCCGAGTCGTGGCGGCGCACGTCTGGCCGGGAAGCAGATGAGTCTGAGCGGTGCTGGCTCGTGGTGAGAGGGTCGAGCGAGTCATCTGACGCAACACTGGTGGATAACTCTGGAACGTCTGCAGTGGCGCCGGCGGCGATTGCCTGGCCAAACGACCACTGTGGCGTCACAACGTGATCGGGCTGGCAGCAGAACGTCTCGCGCGCCCACAGCCGCCAAGCCATGTTCTCGTAGCGCTTTCCATCCTCCATGGCAGGCGAACATTTGGAAAAAACTGCGGGGTTTTCCGTTAGTGGGCGCTCAGGGCGTCCTGCGATAGTCGATGTCACTCACCACTCCATAGCCCAAAGAGATTCTCGGGGTTGCGGGTCTCAATCGTGTGCATCGAGCCGTGCTCGACGCGCACAATGGGCAATTCGGCTCTCAGCGGCATCGTGAATGTACAGGCACTGGATGCCGGAGGCGTTGCTGATATAGGTGTGGGAAATGAGGCCAGGCGTCGTCCGCTTGCGTCGGTGACGGTCAGGATGCGCTTGTGTCAATCAGGTGGGCAGGTACCGAACAGGTGGAATGCCGACGGCGTTACTGTCGTCGCGGATACATGTGCATAGGTGTGCAGGCAATGTGTATGTAGGGATGTATGTGTGTATGTATGGTGTTGTGCGGGCGTCGACGGCGGGCGTGTTTGTGTATGTGAGGGAACCACTGGTGCGCCGAGGTGGGAGTGGATCTCTATGTATAAAGGCCAGGCCAGTGCAAAGCTGCGCGGACAGGGATAGGCAGGAGCGACCGCCGACACGGAAGGAGCGAGCTGGACGCCCACACCTGGCCAAACACCCCTGCACTTCATCCTCGCCCTAAACAGGCCCTCACAGGCCCTTCCGGAGACTCCCCGGCATTGCACGCCTGCCCGCTGCCCATGACGCCCTACCGCTCTTTCACGAGCGCCTACCGCTATTGACCGTGAAAGCTACCGGCTGGCGTGCCTGCACGACACCATGTGAAGCCTGCCATCACGCTCATGAAGCCCGCCAGCGCATCTCATTCTTCGTGAGACCCCATGAGCCCCCAAGCCGCCTCCAGCGCTCGCTGTGCCACAGCGGCCGATACGCTCTGGCCGAAAGCATCGGTGCCCACGCGTGGCCGCTGGGCTTGCTCCCCCACGATGGCGCTGTGCAGGGGCGCATGGCACATGATTGCTACCCTGGACCGTGCCCGCAAGGTTCTTCTTCCAGAATCCCCGGCGAAAGTCGCTGACTCGCTGCTCCGGCGAGGCGCTGCGGTCCACGAGTTGCCAGAGACTCTCCATTCCCCCCAAGGCGACCCTTTGCAACAGCTCGACTCGTCGAGCCCCTTCACCATACATGAGGGTTGCCGCTGTCTTCACTAGACGCTGGCTTGACTCACAGCATCTGAGTTGGCGAACGCAACCCGCCCCGTAGGCTAGTAACAGCACCATAAGTCACCTGAGCCTTGACCCACGCTCAATCTTACAGTACACACGACTCAGCCGTATTGAATTTCCATTTCATCTCGTCTGATCGTCATCCCTGCCTGCATCTAGCCCCATTGCCCAAGGGCAAAGCTCGTGTCCCGGCAACCATCAAGCACTGCCGACGATGCGGTTGAAGTCCTGAAAGTACCTGTACATTGCCCAGACGACATTCTCATTTATCGCCGTGCTGAAGTTGCCGTTCTCAGGACACGGAGCACACTCGAAACGGATCAGGCAGCCTTCCAGCTCCACTCGTCTCTCCGCACTGGGGCAGCACATCACGAGGCATCTGACTTTTTCCGCTGTCGGTCAAGATCCTCTCGAGATGCCGTTCTGGGAGGACTCTCTCCGCCACTATTCTTTGAGTGGAGATTCTCCGCTTAACGTGAACAACTTGCCACTCACTCAGTTTCCGCACGAAATGATGACAGGATGCATGTAGCTTTGCAAGCCATTGTTCGTTGAGTTCGCTGCGTGCAGGTCAATCCTTGGGGTTATCGGCACGAGAGCCCAGTCTGGAGCGCACAACGGCTGGATTTCAGGCCTCTGTGACTCTTGCAACACGGAATCCCCAGCAATTCAGGCGCTGCGAGCTGGGGAAGCAAGATGTACCCCGCCTAAAAGCGCGCGGAGTGCCCCCAGCGCGGAGTGCCCCCAGCGCGGCCTCGAGTAACTGCGAGAGTGGCAAAGATGCGACGTCAACCGACTACGAGGCAATTTCTCCTGGTCATCTGAAATACCTCGTCGAATCACATGGCTGCACAAATCATCATGTGCAACGCTTCTGCTCCGCTCCATGCAGCGTGATTCTGGTTTCATGAGTTGTACAGCAACACGATTCATCTGGGCGTTTGCGCGGCACCTACAACGGAAGAACAACACTCCAAGTACGGCCTCTGTTATGTCGTTACCGCAGCTGAGGTCCGTTCCTGAATATCACGCCCTTCGGCACGCCCATCAGCCGTCGTGGGTACGTCACGAGTACACATTCGACAGCCTTGCAGCATCACACGTGAACTCGTTGACCTTAGCAACAGATCCTGTCTGTAGTTGAGCACCTCGCAAGCCTTCACAGTCTTTCACGCCGACAATCCGTCAGCAAGATTGTACGTTGGGACCTCCTCGCGACTTCGACATGAAGCAGCTACAGCGAACTCAATGATAGTCTGACAGTCTGGTTCACGTGGTCTTGTGGAGTCAAACACAAGGCCTATCGCGGCTGCTCACAGCACGCAAACGACATCCATCTGCTGTACGACCGCCCTTAATAGAATCCTGTCAAACACAACAGCGACTACGATGACACCGCACAAAACGGGTGCCATCCCAGCTTCCCCGAAGTACAACATGACGCGCGCTTGTGTTTAACCTAGGACCAATCACCGTTGACTATCACGGCCCCTTGCTTTTGTCTCACCTTAGATACCAAGGTATTGCAAACCAGGTCGCCAAAATGGATACCACTCCCAATTCTCGCGACCTGGTCTAAGTGGTCTTGGCCAACAGATGTTGCACAAAGGTACGATCGGAATGCCATACGACATCCTGCGGCACGCATTTAGCCATGACTTGACGTGTTATTTGTGTAAGGGCATCTGCGCCCTATCAGGCCTCCATGAACCATATTCACTCCTGTGCCTTGCACCTGCAACATTACCCTTGCACTTGCAACAAGTCACATACAAAGGTCGATCACTGACAACAACGCTGACACTTACACCTCCACAGATCACTGGCCATAGCATGCGAACTCATCAAGCCATAGCATCATTACTTCGTTCCGAGTCTGTGCAAGTAATATATTGCTGTATACGAACACCCCGCAAGCCGGGCGACACAAGCATGGTACACGATTACACCCACGATGCTGGCAGGACAGTGCCACATTCCCGGACACTTGGCTGGGTATGAAAGGCCCGACAGCCTGGTTCAAGCGGCTACCTAATCCTTATCTAGACCGGGCCTTGCACAATTCGCGTGGCTGACGTCCACCAATCCTGCAACGACAAAGCCGGTGGCTGCTGTTGCGGGTGTGCGCAGCGGGCTTGTTCAGCTACGATACGTTTCAAGATACCTTTCCATGTCACTACGCGAGGCGAAAAGGCCTGAGTCTTTTCTGTCTTTATTGTATCGCAAGTCAGCTTGCATAACGTAACGCAGGGGCGCAAATGTAGCGTGCTACCCATGTTTCTCCGGACCAATCGTAGCTTACAACGTGCTCACATCTTAAAGAAAGACGATCTCTTCGCGAACTGAGGTAAGTCGATCAGCGTTTCGCGTCACTTTAGACCGAGGTCTCGGTCACCGTTACGCTCCCCCCGTAATCTCCTGATTCCCAATCAAGTTGTCCACGATCCCCACATTCCTAGCGCACGGGGGGAAGTCATTGTTAGCCTCCGCTCTGCGACTCAATTTGCGCGAATTACATTTGCTACTGTCGTATCAGGTCGGCGGGTGCTTCGACAACGTAGAAGTTAGCGGCACGCGGAGCGATGCCGCCAAAGCAACTAGACACCAGCGAGTTGGGACGAATTGGGTTGCACGTTGCCTTTGACATTATGTGTTGGATCCTTCGAAAGGCTGCTCCTAGGCTATGAAAACCGACAAGAACCAAACGGACCATTAATTCCGTACGATGACTCGAGGCAGCGACACACGCACACCATCGAATTGGGCAGCAACTCGCACTTCCGTCTCCCAAAACAAAAGCTGAACAGGTCACAAGCAGGCCTTAAAAATCTTGAAAAGGCCAAAAGCCACGCTCCAAACTCGCAAACTGAAACCCACCAACTGAATCTTCCTAGTGACCCTCACCCTAGCAACTCTGAAGTTCACATGGACACCCCCGGGCTTGGCAAGTAGTGGTTGCATGCTTTCCCCACGTGCTTATTGAGTGCCCGTGGGTGGCTAGCCGCGCTGCATCCGGACCTGCATCACGGGTGTAGCTGCAACAGCATTCGATATCGTCTACCTACTGTGATGCAAGTCTTCACATACCTTTACCCACGGGTACCCCGCCGGAGGTGCCTTTTTTCAGCTGACAGCAGAGGCGGCATTTCGCCCGTTGCGCACTGTGGGCCCGCGCAGTTCTTCCGCCAACGATGAAGCTTTTCTCCCTTCCTGCCCAGAGACCCATGAGAATCCTCACAAGACACCCTTGCCGTTTGGGAGCGGTTCTAGAATCGCGGTGATGGGCGGGTGGTTTCCCTTTTTGGCTTTCCGTCCCTGTGGAGTTGACCCAAACGGTGTGACGGATGAGGCTGTCTTTCACTGATCGTCATGTATGGACGAAGGAGAAGACTGCCGTGCTGAATGTGCCTGGAGATTTCCGGACATCCCAGCATGTGCTGTAAAGCTGCGCTGCTATTTTGGGTAGTGTTCCGGTGTGGTTACACTGCGTGCTTGACCTATTCATCAGCTGTTGATTGAATGTCTATTTCAGCGTGGAGAACATGCTACCAGCAAGCTCATGTCAGCTTCGGTGATTTGCAACTCCTACTAGGATTGGCGTCCTCAGAACGCATCGTCTCCCAAGTGACACGAGCACCTTCTCGATCATCAACCCGTGGAAAACAATTGCACGAGCATCAAATACGCATCAAGATTCAATATGCATCATCCCAATCCAACACGAAGCCTCAGACCAGTTTGCAGTCTCACCGCTACATGCCTTCGTTTCCGAAGCAACGCAACTACACGCAACCCAAGTAAATTCAGGGCCATCAAGTGTTCATCTACATTGAAACCTTCAACGACTCGTGCCTCCCTCTTACCTCACCGCAAGCCGAATGACCACCACCTCGGACCGTGACTCTCCCAAATTAACATTTACCGGCCCGAGTGTAATCGTAGGATTTGGTGCTATCTCTAATCAGAATGAATCGCAACCCGCGTGCGCCACGTTCTACGCACCTTCCTTCGGCGCGCCCACACCCACACCCACGCGGCGGGTAATTACCGACCAACGGTCCACATGCAGGCGTTCGAACCCGAGACGCGCAAGCACGAGTGTGATCAATCGAACACGGCTCGGAAAGTACGAGCTGGTGTGAGAGCAATAACCGTCCACACCGCTTGTATCACCTGGTGAACGCCTTGGTGCAACGACTCGGTCTCCGGGCAGATTCTCGATGAAGCTACTAAAACGGCACGACTGTGTCGAGCCGAGGGGGGCCACGTCGGATGTCTCGTTCAGGCGCCGAGGCGCAACGGTTGACTGGATGCGATGTACCCCGAACTTTCACGTGCGTGCGTGCGCAAGATCGTACCTCGCCTATAGTAAGACTTGAAGGTAGGTTCGACAGGTAAGCGGAGCAGATTGGACGTTACAGGCTGATGTCAGCGCTGTGAACGATGAGGCTCGGAGCGAAGCGCAAGGCGCATGTCAGAGTCAAGGTGCGATCTCGGAGTCGTGGTGCTCGTGATCAAGCTGTGCGATAAGCATGTATCAGCGTCGTTTTCGTGTCACTGTGGCGAGGGTTGGGGTCTCGGGAAGTAAGTCTCGATCGTGGGTTTTGTTCTTGACTATCGTCATCAGTACCATCCTGCAATTATAACAGTCGTTCGTGGCGAAAGCATTTGAGCGGTGTTATACATGAGCCAAAAGCTCCCCGCGGTGGTGTCCAGGTTCCCGAAGCGGAAGTGGTCAATCATGATGTCGACACTTCTTGAAATCCTATAGGGCTTGAAATCCTATAGGGCCTGCTAGATGCATTTTAGTGGCAGTCGTGATGCTACCGACCTGTGGTAACCTGTTCGTGGTTGAGACGCGAGTAATGTTAAGCAAGGCACCACTTCAGTATGACCCAAGCTTCAGACTTGCACTATAACTGAGTACAAAGGTACGCACACTTCCAGATCGATTCTGATCGCTGCCTTGTGCAGATTTCGATGTGAGGATGCAACATCGGCTGTCTATCTGGCTGGAGTGAAGCTTGATCTTGTCCAGAACCGGTGCAGTGCCGCAGTGCCCGGGTCGTGATCAGAACGCCGAAGTAAATTCCGGTGTCAATCCATGTATGATCAAATTTCCATACTATGAGAGTGATCCCCGAGATTCTCATGGCAAATCGAGTTGTTGTGGAGGGGTTGTGATTATTTTGGAGTTTTGGTGTGCCATTGTAAAAGTATGAAAAAGCCCGCCATGCTTAAGACACGAACAACAAGGGCCAATACCCAGCAGTCAGTAAGGGGTGACACTACTTCGCGCTTGTAATACGGCCTCCACTACACGTGAGGCTTCGTACAGAGCGAAAGATATCACCTACGTAAGTAAGTCCCTGCTCTAAATCATCCCTCCTTTCACGTTGCACATGGATAGACAGTCACGAACGGAAGCCAGTGTACGCAATGTTCAAATCAGGAAGCCTCGAAACAGGAGCCTGTCATCGGACAGACGGTATTTCGTACTGTGGGCAGGCCTAATGCGGTGTAACGAGCAAAACGAAGAATACTGGACTCGACTTCCACTGGGGGTTCAATTTGGTAGAGATTTAACGCCCGCGATTACAGTGCTATGCAAGTGGGTATCTATGTAAGACGAGCACACCGAATAGTGTAAGAAACATGAATAACAATGCCCGACTTCTGCGCTCTCAACATCAAAGAGATTATACCCAAAGCACACTGCTTCTTGCGCCGCCAGGCTCGAGATCCGTATTCCAGTCGGATAAACCACAATCAGTCTCAAGGTAGCTGCCATTGGTAGCCCACATCCCCTTCCTAATTGTGAGATAACAAATGTTAGGAATTTGCTCTTTATATGGAAGAAATTCCGCGGCGTTCGGAGGGATGACATCATTGGTGATAGTCCAGTCTGCTCTGGATTCAAACGAGGAGGATTCCTCAGACCATCTCGTAAGTGCGCCCCGTATGACTGGAAAAATCCGATCAAAATCGCGAAGCACTCGCTGTGCTAAGGTCACACCTTGCGCCAGAGCAAGGAGAAGGTCGACCGCAGCATCGAACTCTGCTTTGCACAGCGACATCGAGATGGAGGAAACAACAGCCACAGGCTGTTGATTGCCCACAAGCGCACTACACAGCAAGTGAAGACTAGCGGCCAGCGTAGTGACCATCCGATGTCGGAGTAGGTAAGCATCGTTCGTGTCCCACCCCTGACATCGTGCATGTGCGATTGATGTGACTGCAACCTGGAGCTGAGCACTAATACGCCCTTCAAGCTGCAGCGAAGAGCCGGTCGCACGCCGAGCCATCAGTCTGAGGTTATTGAAGCACATTCGCACGTACTGAGAGCGTCGACAAGGGTATGCAGACCAATGCTCGCCAATGCCAATAAACGTGTTGGTAACAAACTCGTCGATAGCGGCTTCGAAAGAGAGCACCTTGTCAGGAATGTTATCTAAATGGACGTGAGCTGCGAGGACGTTATCCCACAGAGATCCAGCGAAATGCGACCAATGAACCATGGAGTCCAAGTACTCGTCAAGTTCGTCAGCATCTCGAGAGTCTGAAGCCTGTATGAGCGGAGCAATGTCCTACCCGACGTCTTAGATGAGTAATTGAAGAGGGAAGCAACCTTACACTGCGATACAAGTGACTGGGCCGCGCCACACTGATATCAAGATCTCGTAATATATAGGGGCGATTGCACGATAGGGATATGCGGCGATCGACGATAAGGATATTCCAGAACACCCGTATGCGCTCAAACGAGTCCCATACGTTTAATCCTGCACATGAGGCTTCGAGGTTCAGACCGTGCTGGAGTGTGTAGCGGCTAGCCAGGCCTATTGTATTATAAGCGAGACTAGGCTGATCAACTAGCGTGCAGTATATGGCCTGATCACATCAGCTGTCGCTCGTAATGTGAGATGCGAAGTGGCACGAACAGGCAGACCTCTCCCTACGGGAAGCATCCAGATGTGCTCGTCAGAGATCTTGCAGACTGAAGGAGCCTGTGGAGAATACAATGCGCCCAATAGCGCAGCTGTATGTTCTGCCACAAGAGAGGTGAAGCGATAGATGTACGCACCTTGAACAGCAAGAACTGGGCCAGATGAATATCACCGCGCCCAACAAGCTGTCGCTTGCCGACGACCTCATCGGCAATTTGAAGCCAGTGCCACCCTGGGGGTTTGCTTTCGTAGCCAGGTGCTGTGGTCTCGTTCGAGACGGCGTGAAATGCGAATGTGATGTAGTTTAGCGCCAGGAAGCACACATCGTCTGGATGCACCTCGGGTACTGCTAACATGTTTTGACTGCGGCTTCGGAAATTCTGCTCATCGACGCATGGGTAATAGCAATGGATGTCGTGAAAGAAGGTATCAGTGTAAATCTGATAGATGGCTGGATCCGGAAACACGAGGTTGCGATTGCCCACCCGCACATTGGCTGTATCCGTATCTAGCAAAGGGTCTATGGGATCTTGAGATCGAATTGCCTGCGAGGGCTGGCTCAAGAACGCCTGGCCTGGGCTAACTGAGTCAGCAATTGATGTGGACAGGGCGATATCAATGCCGTTCTCGCGGAGGAGCCCTGCACTAGGTGTCGTATGCATGGTACGCTCTTGAAGTAGTGCCTCCATCATAGACTCGATGCGACACATCCTCGCTTCCATGGACAGCCCAAGAGCAGTGGCATCACTGGCTCTCCGTTCGTTGTTCTGGTGTCTTGGTATGATCGTGCGTCGCGCGAGGCCGATACCACTGCTGATCGGTGTTGACGTTGAAGTCCGCTGTGGTATTGAAGGGCGACTGAGGTTTTGCAAGGCCTCAGCTGCCGTCTGGTCTTCTGAGAAGAAGCAGCGCTTGCCGTTGTCCCGGCATCGCTGGCAAGGGTTGTCGCCAGAGCACTGTGTTGTGTCAGCACAGAAATGCGCAACGAGTACTCATCAAGCCACACCTTCAGCTTTGACCTCCTGCACGATACACCTGCATACATTGTTAGCTACAGTGGAGGCTCATTTATACGTTGCAGTGCTACATCACTCAAGAGCGACCGTCGCGGAATGATCGGAATGGCCTCAGGAGCAAACATGAGCGGCATAGGGGAGTCTTGGACGTGACGTACATGCTTTCGGTGCATACTTTTGCCTTGCCTTCTTCCTTTTGGGAGAGTTTGATCTGTAACCGTCATTTCGGTCCAAAGGCGGTGGCTGGTCGTTCATAACGCAACGATATAGATGATGACTGGGGTGGCGACGTGATGAGAGCTCGGAACGGACGCGCCGAGCTGGCCCAAGCGCCGCCAAGCGAACTTGGGAACGCGTCTGGATTCCTTCCAGCCTTTACGACAACACTGCATGTACTTTTCGAATCGTCAAAGGACGATGGATCCTAAAGCCTCGGTCTGATGTTGACAACATGTGGTAACGCTATCTTAGCTGCGTTTATTCGAGCAGCTGCCTCCATTGTCTGGGCTCTGAACCTCGAACCACGACCAAGTGCACTATCGCTCCGCGTGGTCGCCTGCAACGCACCTGAGATGACGCTCGACGACTTCCTCTCAGAACTCGGCACGGCCGGGAGTGCTGGCAACAACTGCGCAATTGTTGCGTTGCCTTGCTGATATCTTATAGATACGCCTCTCGCTTCTCAGGAATTCAATGCCACTTAGTTGACCCAGGCACCCACACAATGAGCTTTTTCTGGTAAAGGTAGGGCCTCCATCGAGTTGAGCTGTAAGAAGGGTGGCCAATTGACTCGCAGTCTCCCTCTGTAGCGGTCTCTACCTTATTGCATTCCTCCTTCTCTGTACGACCATCCATGCATACGCGGACGAGGGAGATAGGCATTGGGCGAATCGAGAGCATCTTGGCAACTGCCAATACCTACGCGCCGTATGCTTAGTAGGAGAGACGGCATCCACGGCAAGGGCTCGAGCTGTCGGTCTCTGCTTTGCCACCCCGGCACCTTGCTGACTACATGGCTCCCGAGTAAGCTCACTAGAGACCGTAGCCAACATCTCCAACGAAAACGGTTCTCAGCATGCCCAGCCTGCTAGAAGCGACGTCTAATTGTCTACAAGCGTCTAGAGGCTTGAATATCACCAGAGCATGGATGCTGCATCACGCATGATCATACTGGCTATCCTGCATTCTTTCCATATCGATGCCACTCGAACTTCCACTGCACCTTGAGCGGAATGGACCAATTCAACGACTCCTCGCCCACAGAAGCACGACTTTGGCTACCTCTTCCAGGGTGAGAATCACCTTGGCACTTCGCTGTACGCTCTTGGCATACCCCCTTCTGTGCGAAAGATTGGTCTCGGGATTGCGTAAATCACCGACAAGCCGCCGTCGCCGCATGCCTTTGCGCGAAGGGCATTGATGCTGGCCATATCGACTTGCCCTCCGTTGACTTTGCTCCACTTGCGAGAAGAATGAGTGGGACCGGACGCGACGTGAGTTGCAGCCTGCCAGCCAGATGATCGGCACGAACGTTCTTGAGGTCCTGTAAACAGCTCTGTTGGCTGAACGAGAGGTATATTGGCTTGGAAGCACCCGCATCCTAACGAGCTCTTTGCCGATGCAGCCACGTCCTTCTCTACACTTATTGTCATTCGTTTGACCACAATCACTGCAGTCTGCAAAGACAACGGCCCAGCGAGACAAAGTCTCTGTCCACATCTTGAACAAGGTACAACTTCCATACTGCTTACTACTTACTGGTCACAGATCTTAATTGTACGTTCCCTCGATATGGGACGTGCCTACCGACATGCGCTCTCTACGAGCTTAGTCCTCTCTGTTGTGGGTGCGCTGCCCGCTCCAGCTCCTCAACTGGGCGGAAGCGGTGGCATTCTTGGTGCGGGTACTTCGAACGGCCTGCTCGGTACTGGCCTTGTCGCAGCCGCCCCAGCCCCAGTGGTTAAGCCTGCAGTTGCGCCCGTGGTTCAGCCTGTAGTTGCTCCCGTTGCTCCGTCTACGAACACAGGTACAGGTCTGCTCTCTGGAGCTGGAGCTGGACTTGGTAGCCTCCTTGGCGGTTTACCCAATGTCCCGATTGCGCCTCCTGCTGTCCAAGTACCGTCTACTCCGGCTGCTGAAGTCCCCTCCGCAAACACAGCAAATATACCCATAGTCCCTACCGTTCAACAGCCGTCAGTCCCGAGCGCTAACACTGGACTGCTCGGAGACATCCTTCCAAATCTGATCCCAACAGCGGGCACGCCCTCGGTCGGACAGCCCATACCGAACGGGCCGAACTCCGGACTTGTAGACAGCCTCCTCCCTATCACTGCACCGCTGGGAGGTACGTTGACAGGCCTCGGCAACGTTGTCGACGGCGCGACTTCTGGTTTGGGTGCCACGGTCGGAGGAATCACATCTGGACTCGGACAGACCGTAGGTAGCACAGCTGATGCTCTCGGCAGCACCATTGGTGATGCTGGATCAGGTCTCGGTGGAGCTCTTGGCGGAGCCGTTGGAGGTGTAGGTGACGCTGTAGGCGGTGCTCTCGACACCCTCGGACAAACTGAGGGCGTTCTTGGATCTGGTGTCGGTGGTGTAAGTGGCGGTATCCTGGGAGCAGTCGATAACATCGCATTCGGTCCTGACGGCGTCCCTTCCGTGCCCGGCAGTCTTCCGTCTACACCTTCCGTCGGACTCCCAAATCTTGGACTGCCAGACGCAGGCGGAATCGGAGGGGCCTTGCCCAGCCTCAATCTCCCTGATCTAGCGGGCGCCGTGCCCAACATTGGAGGCGTTTTGCCTGATCTCACGGGAGCTCTACCAAACTTGATTGGACCTGGTACTGGCGATCTTGCAGGTGCTTTACCAAGCCTTGACGGAGTCCTGCCGAACCTCAACTTGCCTGATGCAGGTGGCCTCGTCGGTGCTCTGCCTGATCTCACAGGAGGGTTGCCCAACCTCGACCTTCCTCTGCCTGGCCTTGGTAGTGGCAACCCTCTCCCTTCTCTACCTGGAGCAGATGGGCTCAGCAACATCCTGCCAACACTCCCTCTTCCTGGCCTCGATAATCTTGGAAACGTATTGCCTTCCTTACCGCTGCCCGGTGTTGATGGAGTCCCTAGTGGTCTTGATGGGCTCGGCAATGTGATCCCTGGTATCTTGGACAACCTCCCAACAGGAGACATCCTGCCAACACTCCCTCTCCCTGGTCTCGACAATCTCGGAAATGCATTGCCTTCGCTACCGCTACCAGGTGCTGATGGAGTCACTGGTGTTCTTAATGGGCTAGGCAACGTGATCCCTAACATCTTGGACAACCTCCCAAATGGAGATCTCGCAAACGGTGGATTAACTGCTGTAGGTGGTCTGCCAAATGTAGGTGGGGTTGTTCCTGGACTAGGCGACGATACTGGCAACTTCGGCAATCTCATTCCCGATGTAATCAACGGCAACATTGGAGACATCATACCCGATGTTGTTGGTAGTCTTCCTACCGCACCTGGAGGCTTGCCAAATCTTGGTGGTGTCGTTCCCAACCTTTCGGATGTCGGCGACCTAGGTAATATCATCCCTAATGCCCCTTCAATCGTGGACCCTCTCACCGACCTCGCAAACGGCGTCGGGGACATTCTCGACAACGCTGGCAACACAGTCGGCGGAGTGATCAACGATGTCCTTCCTGGAGCTGTTCCCGGTGCTGGGACGAGCAACCCCATTACAGATATCACTCAAGGCTTGGGTAATACTGTGGGTGATGTTGGCAACACCGCAGGACAGGTGATCAGTGAGCTCCTTCCAGGTGTACCAAATGCTCAGCAACCAGACACCCCTCAGCTGCCTGGTGATACGCCGAATACACCTTCGACGGACCTCCCATCGACTCCAGATGTTGGCACCATATCCCCGCCTATTGATACCCCGCCAATTGGCGTTCCTGATCTCGGTATTTCGAACGCACCCGGCGCTGGAGTGCCTCCTGTTCAGCTACCGGACTTACCGCAAGTACCTGACCTTGGAGTACCTCCTGTTCAGCTACCAGACCTACCGCAAGCACCTGACCTTGGAGTGCCTCCTGTGGAGGTGCCCGACCTATCGCAAACACCTGACCTTGGAGT